AGGGGACAAACAACACAGGAGAAGACAGGCAGTCTGAGTTCCCACTTACTTGGCAGATGGACTTTCCTGTCATGAGGTCCCCAGCACAAAACATATCCTCGTGTATAGAATATTCGCTGCTGCTGGAGTCTGGCAATTGGAAATACATTTTACAGACCTCTCTGTCAATAATGGCAACTTCTCCTTCTTGCAGCTGGAATGGTGGAGCCAGGAAATCTGCAGCAGAGTTTGGGTCGGGGAGAGGACAGATATGGGGTGGAGCCTGGAAGGAAGGATAGCTCCCTCTGAAACATGCTGCCAATTCTAGCTGACAGGATTGGGGAAGTCTCTCAGAGGACTTGCAAAGATGAGGGGACAAGATGTTCAAGACAGACAAAAGAGCAAATGAGGGGCCTGCAATAGGGGCCAGCAGGAAGGCTTATGTGGCTGCAATGGGGTGGGAGTGCGGGTTGTAAAAGATGAGGCAGGGTCATAGCAGGGTCTAGAGCAAGCAGGGTCTCCTCACCATCTGAAATGTGGATTTCAGATTTCATTCTAAGCACACTGGGAAACCACCAAAGGGTCTCCTTATGTTCTGAAAGTAATTAATGTGGCAGCTATGCAGAGCTAGAAATAGAAGCACAGAATGTGGAAGCTGGGAGTCCGGGCTCAGTTGCACTGATGTGCCCACTAGATGCCAGGTGGGTTGAGGTAGTATGACCAATAAGACATGGCCCAGCCTCAAGGAGCAACTGGTCTGTGGATATTTCCCATGTGGATTCTATTTCCACACTCTGCTCACAGATCTGACTCGTGTTTGCATGGGGCAGCACAGTGTCACAATGACAGCTCCCTCCTAGGGTGTGCTTGCCATGTGCAGCCCTCACATGTTCTCGGGGGCCACCCAGGCCCAGCAGCTGTAATCAGGGGAGGGTGTGGAGGAAGGAGAACTGTAGACTCCATCTGCTCCTCTCCTGCTCTAGCCTGTGACATCCCCTCATGCCCCAATTCCTACCCTCTGACCTATCCTGCAGAATCCTCCTTGCTCTGCCAGTGGTTCTTCTTGAGTGATAGTCCATCCCAGAAGGGTGTCTCTGGAAATGCTGGAGAGTTGGCTGTTCATATGTCTAGAGACTGGGACTGACATTTAGTGGTCAGAAGCACAGAAAAACAAGTCTTGCCCCAAATGTCCCCACTGAGACACTCAGCCAGATCCTGGCAAACCTATGACCCTACAAATCATACCAAATCTACATTCCAGTTTCTTCACTCTACATTATATTTTCTAAGTCAAAAGTATTCACCATTGTGTAAAAAGGCCCACCATTTCTCCAGTGTCACCCTAAAAATATACAAGCCAGCAAGCTGGCAAAATGGGAGTTTTACTTGAATTAATGGATAAGGGGATGTGAGAATTACAGAGGAAAATATCCTTAAGCTATAAACACCCCAACTTCACCTCCTGGGCCAGCAAGCAGGCCTGCTTTGATTTCCCTACTGCTGCTCCAAGGACCTCCTATGGCAAGGGAAGCCTAAGAGGTGTTTGGTGAAGCCTTGGAGGGGCTTGACATGGTCTCAAGCAGAACCTTGGAGTCTGAGTGGAATCCTGAATGGCTTGGAGTCAAAGAGCCCAAGTTCCTGATTCTGAAAGTTACAGATACTCAGACTTTTTGATCCATGGGCAGAAGAAAACTTGAAACTTGAAATGGATATGATATCAGGGCTGAAAGGGCCCTACAATGGGCATCATACCTCCCTCCTTCTTGGCCTTTGCCCCCCTGCCTGTCCTACCCCTACTCACCACCCTCAGTGATCATTCCCCAGCCTGTTATCCAGCAACTGCTGTGAAGGGGTAGCTTCGTAGTTGGACCTGGGAGGCAGGCAGGAAGAATGTGGGATGTAAAGTTCACAGACAGATGCAGTTGCAACAGGGCGATGTCACTGCCCATGAAGTAGTGTTTGTTAAATTCATTGTGAACAATGAGTCGATACACTGTCATCTGCCGGCTATGCTCAGTGGGATGTTGGAGCCGATGGTACCCGAGCAGGATCTGGTAGTCAGATGGTTCATGTGACCTGTTGTGAGAAGCTGCATTATCACCTGTCTCCTCTGTGTGCTGCACACTTGTACCCTCACCTGACTGTCTAACCCCCAACTCCTTCGACCCTTGTAAGCAACCAAACACCACCATTTTTCCAGAGGTAGCTCTCTCCTCCCTAATAATCTTGTCAGTTGGGTTGGATGCCTGTCTGTAGCCTCAGAACATCTGTCCTTTGAAAGTGTTTGATGGCTTCCCCTGTATGTCCCCAAATCAAAGGAGCAGAAAATCTCAGTGCTGGAAAGAAAGAGCAGAGCACATAAAACTATACCTCTTCATTTTAGAGTAAAGAATACTTGGCTCATTCCCAGCTCTGATCAGAATACTTGGAACATCCCATGTCTTGAAGTAGTTTTCAAAGACCCCATTTCCCAAGCCATGATCCATTCCCTCTTCCCTGCCTTCACATACACATACTTCTTCAAGCCTGTCCCCATCTGGAGACAGGCATTCAGTGAGTCTATGTGGAGCAAATAGGGGAACTCATGTAATTCAACTCCTTGTTTCTGGAACATGAGCAACTTTCCAACACAAATGGCCTGTTTGTGCTGCTACTTTGCCCAGATTCTACATGTCTATACTCTCCTCCCATAAGGCCTCTTTAGTTCCAAGACCCGATTCTGATGGGATGCATGGCATTTCCCCTGATACTGGCTCAGAATCCATTCTCTTGTATATTCCGGCCTCTCCATTCTGCATCAAAGTAGTTGAGTTTATGTCTCACTTTCCTGATAGTATTAGAAACGTCAAGGTCTGCATCTCCACATCCTCCACAGGGAGCCTCAGATGGGGCCTGGCACCCATGGGTGCTGAATCAATGAACAGAACCCAAGTGGGGTCTCAAATCTATTTGATGCCGATAGCTCTGACCTCCTCTGACTTGGAGCATGATGTTCTCCCCGCTCCCTCTGGGCATAGAGTAAGTTCAGGATACACTTGAGGAGCTGCGCATTCTCCTAACCGTCTGCACCCTGTCTCCCAGGACAGAGACCATTTGCTTCATGCCTCACTCTGGCCTATAGGGGCAATGATAACTACAGGATCTCTTGGGCACATAGTTCTACAGCGTGACAGGAATTTCTGGGTACTGGTTAAATAAACAGTGGATGCCTCCAGAGAGAAATGTGCTAGAATGGTGGGTGGTTAGGACCTAGGGAAGTCTCTGACAGTTGTGCTGATGATGACCTTTGAATGGTCTGACTGGAAGAGTACAGAATAATTTCCCATTTTGTCCAGGGCCTGACTGATGCTCCCTCAGGCCTGGGAAGTGAGGGTTCTGAAACCACTGTTGTGACTTGAAGCCTAAAGCCTGTGCCATATGTTTAGTCAGGGACACTACACATCCATTACCATCTGCATAAGAGGAAAATGAAACCCCCTGAGATCTTGTTGGACTGTCTAGAGCTGGACAAGATTCAGAAACCAGAGTCTACCTTGAGTGAGAACAGGACTTAGAATCCTAAAGTTTAAGGAAGACAAAGAGTGGGCTGGAGGCAGTTCCTTTGGAATTAAAGTCTGTTTTCCAGTGCTGATCATCACAATTAGAGTTAATTTCCATTTAGCTATTTAAAAGTAATGTACATGTAGCTGAAATAACCATGCCATCTTGGCAAGTATTACCAAAGTGTGAGGAGGGGGGAAGATGAGAATATCCCCAGAGGGAGAGATGAGGTAAAGGGCCTTTGTCCTGGGAGATGTGAACTCAGACAGTCAGGAGACTGGACTCAGGTGGTGAGTAGGGATGGCACTCAAAGTAGAGGGGACTGCTGGCTCAAAGGCAGAGGCAGCAGACTTTCCCTAGGGATAAAGGGTCGAGACACTTTTCAACCCCTTCTGTTCTGCCCATCTTGTGCTCCCTCCCCAGTCCCACCCCGGCAGCTGGGCCCATTGGGAGCACATACTTTTGGAAGCAATGGGCAGCTGAGATAACCCAGTAGGCATCTATGAGGGCAGCTCCGCAGATGTGCTTGCCAAGGTAGAGCAGACTGGCCTGCCACGGCCACCGTAGATCAGGTGCATTCTGTCCACCAAAGATCTTCCCACTTACTGTTGGCTTCCCACACACTGTGGAGACAATCCTACCTGTGAAGCACGTGTATTATGGATGCCAGCCTCGGTGTCTCCAAATGTTAGCATCAACAGGCTCAGGGCCACCATGGACCCTTCTCAATTTCCAGCTGGGAAATCCAAGCCCCAGGATGAAGTGACATGGCTCAAGTAACAAAGGGCTACCTGGCTTTGTTGGTGACAGTAGCGCTAAGGAAGAAGTCTCTGAGTCTGGATAAGAAAAGGGGGGCAGCCATCGAAGGGCAGGGAAGCAGGCAGCTGCAGAGGTGCACATCTGCACTTACTGGGGTATAGAGGTCCCGGAGGTGGTGCTGCCCCAGGCCCTTCTCCAGACCTTATTTAACTTAACTAGCACACCTCTGTTTGAAGTCCTCAAAACTGAAGGCTTCTGAGGGATGCTATTTGCTCCAGGCTCTTGACGATTAAGTGGTTGCATCCTTCCCTCCTCAGCCTAATATTCTAGGGAAACTGATGGAACACATTCTGCTTGACAATTCTCCTTCTGAAACACTGCACTCCCGTTCTTAAAATGAAGAGATCCTTGGGGGCCCACAATGACAGGCTAGTGAAAGACCTCTGCCCTTGAACTGAAGATGCTTGAGGCCCTGAGGGAAAGAGCCTGGTCTTCTCAGCCTCGGCCCTCCCTGACCCAGGGAAGGACCCACCAGGGACCCAGAGACTCTAGAGCCCCACTTAGCCAGGTAAAGGTCTTCCTGGCTTGGTGGGGTTTGGGAGGGTCACTTGAGAAGTGTGCGAGCCTGATGCCCTTCGCCTGCTCACTCACCATCTGCAGTGGTTCCCTTGGGCTCAGCGTGCAACAGCAATGGGCGTAGCCAGAGCAGGGCTGTGGCCAGCATGCAGGCCCCCTGCCAGCCTGGGCCTGAGCCCTTGGCTTGGACGCTTGCCATCCGGCCAGTGCACAACCGTCTCCTGGATGTGTGGACCGCATGGCGCGAGGCTGAGGGGGCCGCTGGGAAACTGCCTCCCGCGGTAAGAAATGCCCCCTTTCCAGTCCGCCCTGCGGCCTGCTTGGTTAGCCAGAGAAGTCAGTAGACCTCATGTACCTGGAGCCGGGAGCCCCCGGGCTGATGGGGGAAGCAGAGGGCACATAGGGTGTTCTGCCCAGGAATCCCAGTTTGATGGTAGAGACATCAGGGCAGTTATGTGTATGCCCAGGAATATGCACTAATGGTCAGAGCCTAAGCACTTCTATAATGTCACCAAATATTTCCAACTGGCTTTCAAGATCCAATCCCTTCATTTCTGCCCCTCCCCCATTCACATAATTAAGTCAGACCCACCATGGATAATATCCCTTTTTAAAGCTCACTAGTGCAAAACAGCATGACATAATCATGGGTGGATACTTCATCAGACGGGCATTATGCAAGGGTATGGGTTGTATAGGAAGTCCAACTTCTGGCTGCTAACCACTCATGTTCTCCCAAATGAAAAATTATTTGCTATCTCCCAACACCCCCAAGGATCTCATTTCATTCCAGTATCAACTCAAAATTCAGAGTTATCTGTTAAAGGAGGTCACTAAGAGGACATGACCACTGGTTGATCTGATAACTGGACCCAGGCAATCAAAAGCTCTGCACTCTCTCCCCTGGCCTTGGAATGTATGCTCTGCCTATCAAGTGGGAGCTGCTTAAAGGACACTGCCTTGAGAGAAAAAGGTGTTGCTGAGAACTTCTGGACTAAAATATGTGACTGAACCAGTAAAGGCTTCTTCTTCTTTTTTTAAGATTTTATTTATTTGACAGAGAGAGCACAAGCAGGGGGAGTGGCAAGCAGAGGGAGAGGGAGAAGCAGGCTCTCCCCTAAGCAGGGAGTCTTATGTGGGGCTCAATCCCAGGACCCGGGGATCAGGGCCTGAACCAAAGGCAGACACTTAACAACTGAGCCACCCAGGCACCCCCAGTAAAGTCTTCTATATAAACTTTAAGATCATGGCCTGCCAGTGTAGAGATCCAATCATCTTGTGATCCCCCAAGACAAGCCTCATACCTAAGTTCCCTTGCAAATTAAACCTGCCATCTACCAATCTGCAGCAACCTGCCTCTTTCTCTAGCCTCTCCTTGCCCTCTGTGTCCAGGGGCCAGTCTGTGAGCCAACCTCATCTCAATGTAAACATTTCATCAGCTCCAAGTCCAAAATCTCATTATTGAAATTCTCTAAGTTAGGTGAGGATGAGGTTCTAAGATTTAACTCATTAACATAGTTCTTAACCACAGTTCTTCCTCTATTTATGGAACTACCTACTCAACATTCCCAACATAGGATGGTAAGACAGGCCAGGAAGGGGATAAAAATCACAGGCATTGCCATTCAAAGAGGGAGGAGGAGAGGAGATGGAAAGCAAAGCAAAAAAGAGTTACTGCTGTCCTACTGGGCAAGGTCTCAAGGCCTTAGGAGAAAATTCTCTGTGACTCTTGACTCTGCCCTTTGAACTCTTGGTCATCCTTCCTTTTTTATTTTATTTTTTTTTTTAAATTTTAATACTTGTTTCTTTCTTACTCTCTGAACTGTTTTATTTTTCTTTCTCTTTTCCTTACTTTTTCTTGCCCTTTAATATTTCCTTAAACTTAACAGGAAATCTTCAAAATCTATAAAAAGAACATTTGTAGTGCTTTAGAGATTTACCTGAGTGAAATTCTGATTTTTTCTGTGTAAGTCATGCAGTCCTTAATTGATAATTTCATGAATTATAGGTGCAACCTCAATGACTATATTTTAAAGAAGAACTTTAAAATACTGCTCTAAATTCATTTGAAGTAATGGAGGCTCAGTGTAAAAATCACAAAGAAAATAATAATTGTGAACACTTATATCTGTCCTTTTGTGGGGGGAAGGAGCACATAGTTGCACAAAATTTGCACCTGAATAGTTCTGTCAGCTTGCTTCCGCCTAGTGTAGAGCTGAGGGTCCAACTTCCATTTTGTAGTTTCTCTGATCCCTGTCAGTACCAGACCTTCATACTCCTGCTGACATCAGCTCCAGAATTTTGTGGTCCTTGTGTGGATTTCACTAGTTCTCATAGTGCTAGACAGAACCACACCCACATATATTTTTGAGTTAATTCATCCAAATTAGCTTCCTTTTGAGAAGTTATGTACATACCCTCCATCCCCGCCCAACCCCCCGCCACACACACACAAGCTGAAAATCCTAATATTAGGCAGAGACATAGAAGACAAGATTGAGAGTTTTGAAGGGAAGCTGGAGGAAGCCAACAGAATGGGCAGGGTGGAGAGGCATAATTATTGGTCCTCAAAGGAGGCATCAGAAGTTGGGGAATGGAGACATTGCAGAAGCTAGGAATAACAATTGGGCACACCAGGCAAGTATGTCTGAGGACAAAGGCAGCCTCCCAAAGAGAAGCCACAGGAAAACTGTTTTCAGGGAATGTGGGAGATAATGGGGATTTTGGAGAGGATGAGGTACAGGAGATTTGCTGCTCACCATCTGGGCTGCTTCTGAAGTGCTCAGGGGGGGCATGTGATCTCCACAATTATGTACATTGGCAGTTTGCAGGTGAGGAAACTGAATCCAAGGAAAACGAACCATTACATAGGAAACACAGTGACAGGATCAGCCCCAGGTTGGCTGATGCCCCCCTATGTCCTGCTTTTAGTCAATCAGAGGCCTAATCTTTTCCCCTGCTTGTCCCAACTCCATGCTATTTCCAAGAGAATGCAGAAGATAGGCTTAGGACAGGGCTGCCACCATTGTGAGCTGGGTGGGTCTGGAAAAATGGAGGGTGTGCTATGAGCAGAGGCAGGTGCAGAGGAGTAAGCACTGTGAGGTCACACCTGGGGGGATGGACTGTCCTAATTCCTACTCAACATGAGGAACCAGCATCCCAGAGAGGCAAAATGACAAGCAGGTAGGTCAGTGCCAGAACTGGACCCAGCTAGCAGACTCTAGAACCTGTGACCAGAGGCATAGTTCCACACAGCCTCTCTGCAGGCTCCACTCAGCAACAACCTACAAGTGCTGGGAGAGGACAGCACCTTCCCTAGCTTTTTCATGCCCAGTCAGGTTTTTCCCACATTCTCTTTCCTCCAGTAGTAAGTTCTGCTTGAGCCTTGCCACAAGGTGGCAGCATTAAACTGTTTGAGATTGCCTTAATCAGCTTCTATCTCCAGACCTAGGACATGGCATCCATCCTCTTAGGTACACTGATTTTCAGGTAGTTACTCTTTCCACCATTCCTAGCTTTAGTGTACCCATGTCCCTCCAACCTCCCCACCATCTGCAACCATCCCATACTCTTTAATGGCTCCCCCTGCATCCTTCCCCACAAGTGGAAACTCACTCTCTCTAGGAATTCCCTAGGCACTTTGTGGGGAGTCTTAAAAACATTGTCTTCCTCTGTTCTGTTCTGTGGGTGTGCTGTCCCCCTCTCCCACCATCCTGTTGCACTACAAGCTTCCTCAAGGCTGAAGCTGCGTTCTTGTGTGTGTGTGTGTGTGACACAGCCTCATTGTGGAGAGAGGATGTGTGGCAGGGCTACTGCCCCTGAGGCTCTTGATGGTCTTCCCCTCCCCAGCCATAGAGGGCAGGGCCAGGAAAAGCCTGATCCACCCACACCCTGAGCACATTTTCCCCTCTCTGTGACCTCTAGATGTCTTCAGTTCATCGCAGGTTCTCATGCCTCGGACAAGACTCTGTGCACAGTGGTACCATCCATTTCCTAAATGAAGGGTACCCCATCCCACCTACATGTTGCCGGCAAAAGGAAAATCCTGACGAATAGTGTGATTCCTCATGGTCAAGCAATAGTACTTCTAAAGAAACATCATATATGTACATACAGAAACTCCTCATCATTGCTCTCCTTGTAATACTATACACGTCCATCTATAGGTAAAGGATAAAGTGTGGTGATATGGTTAGAGATGAAATGCTATAGGGCATTTTCATAAAATGAAAGAGATCTGTGTGGAAAAATCCCTGGCCTACAATGTATAATGAGTAAATGTATAATGAGTAAAAATTGCAATGTATAATGAGTAAAAAATGCAATAGCAGAATTAAATCACAGTACAATACCAAGCATGAACATCAATGGAAGCTATATAAGCTTTGGGAACCATATATTGGCAGTGAAAGTTTAAATACATGGACAGGAGGAATATAGACCAAATTCAAAGTGGATGCTGCTCCCTGGATAGGTAGGAAAGGGAAAAAGCTGTGTCACACACACAAGAACGAATAGTGTACAATATTTTATTTATCTACGTATGTAATAATAAAATGACATATAAAATTATTGGAAGCAAATACGGCAAAACATGAACATTTGTTAATTTTAGATAGTAGATCCAGGAGAATGTGTTAATTCCTTTCTGCATTTTTCAATGTATTTAAAATAGTTCACAATGATAATAAAAGAACAGAGTGTGGTATATTAACCTTCAAAATTAAATAAATGGACAAAATAAATCCCAACTGTGAACCAAATAGTACAGGAAGCAGCAGGGTGTTGTGATGGAGAGGACCTGCATCTACAGAAGAGAGGAAGGAGCGGCCTCCAGTGCAGAGGCAGGAGCAAGCTGAAGGGACTGGCCATGGAGGAGCATGCCAGGTAGAGAGGACTTAGTGTGAACAGAATGGGCTGAGAGAGCAATGGGTAGTTGCTATGTAGGGAGGAGTGGCTACAGGGCTTCTTCAACTAGAATAGAACCAGGGTGATTTTCCAGATTTTATGGAGGGCTCTTGGGGTCCTTAACTACAGAGTTAAAGAGGCTTTTCAAAGGTATCCCCTGTATGCTAAAATCCAATAAAATAAACTTATTTAAAGCCTTAGTGAGTGCATGAATAAAAAGTGTCTCTGACTACTGAAAGACTGATGGACACCCTAATGTGAGTAGAAGGTGAGTTGTGGGCTGGCCCTGAGGAGCAGGAGGCACTCAGGTTTGCATATGTGCAAAGAAGACCAAACACTATGGTCTTTCCCTCCCACCTGTCCCAACCAGACTCCAGGTGCTATCATCCATTTATTCATTATTCCAGGATTTTCCAGGTAGGAGTGCTGAGCCAGCAACACCATCTAAAGGGGGAAAGGGGCATGGAGGTAAATAAGCTCTAGCCCTGCACTCAAGGAGTTCACTGTGGTAGAGAGTCAGGTCAATAACTGAACACAAGAGATGCAGAGAGTAGTACGGGCTATGGGAGCTATCAGGATTTTAATTTCTCTCTCATCAGTATATATTATTTAATTATTTTAAAAATCTGGGTTTAACCAGTGGCAGATGACATTCTCATATTTTTTGATTATGGATTAAAAATCTGCTAATTCTAAAGGAATCAGTATGATGGAGATCTCTAAGACCTCACGGACAGTTCTTGGAAAGTGGCATATCTACTGATGGAAAAGTCAACTGAGGACCTTTCTTCAGAGGAGCATTTCTCTTCTACCCATGTGGTACATCACAAAGAGACCTCACTCTGCCTCCAGGCCTCCTCCAGCCCATTGTCCATCTGGATGTCAGCTCTGTCCTCACAGAAGGTAAATTTTGTCCTGTCGCTCTGAGGTATAAATTGCCTCCCCTCCCCCCTCCCACCCTGCTCCTGCCACAGCCAACATGACCCAAAGGCACTGCTGGGTCCTTCATCCTCCTGGCTCTGCTCAAACTGGATTCCTCACTCTGAACTTCTACCCTACCTCTTCTTTGTCTAAGTCCCTGGCCTTAAGGACAGGCCATTTAAACCTCAGCCTGGCATTTACATGATCCTTTTCTGTGACAGGCACTGAGGGTGTGCTGGTGAGCAGGACCCCCTCCATGGAGCTGATTCTGATAACAATGTTAGACATGACTCATACAAGGAAACACAAAGACAAATTGTGGTAAATAGTATAAAAGAAATAAAAATACTATATGCATATAACGGAGATAGCTGTGGCCCATTCCAAGGGTCAGTAGACATTTGTCAGAAGAGTCCTTCAAAGTGATAGTTTGCTGATAAGGAAAGAGGGTAGCAAAGTTCCCAGGAAGCAAGGGTCATTTGTCCTCTAAGGAACTGAGAAAAGGCAAGTGAGCTGGACCACAAAGACTGAAGAGCGAGGGAAGGAGGGACTAGGGATGGGCTGTACTCAGTCTCATGTACCAGGACAAAGATCTCAGTCTTTATCTTCAGAGCAATGAGAAACCGGTGGAGAGTTTTATTTAATATAGGAGCAACATGCTGATGAGGTGGCAGTGATCACAATGATGGCGAGAATGGTAAGGAAGAGGAGGAAGATTATGGTGACGTGGTGATGATGATGATGGCAAAGATGATGCAGGGATAAGAGTGATGAAATAAGGATGAGAGTAATGGGATGGTGACAGTGATGCTGACATGGTGATAATAATGGTGATGATGAAGATATGAGGATTGAAAATGAATAAACAAATAAACAGAAATCAGAACCAAACCTATAAATACAGAGAACAAGCTTATGGCTGTAGAGGGAAGAGGGTGAAGGGATGGATGAATGGGTAAAGGGGAGAGGGGGCTACTGGCTTCAGTTATTGGGTAAATAAGTCACGAGGCTGAAAGACACAGCCAGGGAATACAGTCAATGGTGTTATGACAGTGCTATGTGGTGACAGATGGTAGCTACACTTGTGGGCAGCACAGCATGACATATAGACTCATTGAACCACTATGTTGTACAGCTGAAATGAATGTAACACCGTGTGTTAACTGTACTCAAAAACCAAACAATAAATTAAAAAATTAGAACAAATGTGTGTACTGAAATGCTGATGGAAATGATGGTGGTAATGAAGAGTCCAGCACCAGTGCCAGCTAGGAAGGCAGTGGCAGGAAGACTGTCTGGGACGTTGGTGAAGAGAGGATGGAAACAACACATGATTTGGAGTCAGACACACCTATGCTCTACTATTTTCTGGGTGCCTTTGAGAAAATGCCTTGATCTCACATATGCCTCAGTTTCCTTGCCATGTAAAGGATTCCTAAAGGTGAAATGATGTCTATAAAAGTGCCTGACACCCAGGAGGTTCACTTTCAGTTTTCTTTGTTTCTCCTTGACATACATGCATGCAGCTAGGCATGTGAAGTAGAGGTTCTCTTCACTGCTTCATTCCTGCAGCTTGGTCAGGTGACATGGCATGTTGCTGAGGGACATTGTGTTGTTGCTAAGAGCCCAAGAGCTCCCGTTTAGATCATTCACTCCAACTTGAGAGTCTTGGCTGCTGGCTGTCTGTGGGCACTGCTGTGTGAGGGGGGTGGTTCTGCTCAGGGCTACCACCACCACTGCCCACTACCCATACCTGTCAGTCTTGCACTTTGCCCTTACCACAGTGAGTAGTTCCTATTCACTACCAAATCTGGGGGACACAGCAGCAGGGCTTTTGCATGTCTTGGGAAAAATAGCTTCTTCCTTGTCCTGAGCCTTCCCACAATGTGATTATACACAAGGCACTTAACCTCTTTGGGCTCCATTTCCCACCTGAAATCTGTCTTGCTGGATCAAGGAACAATGCAGGATTCCTGTATCATCATGTGGCAGTACCTATATGCAGTAGATGCCCACAGTGAAGAGGTGTGCAGTCACTGTTAGCTTCTCTCTCTCTCCTTTGGTGGGGGGCAGAGCATAGGGGCCCGTCCACTTGGTGGTTTGAATTTGCTGGTCTCAACCTTGTCCATAGTTTCAGTTTATCTCCAGCTTCCTGGAGGGTGCCTTCTGGCTGGTCACTGGATAGGGACTGTCCTAGCATCCCAAGGCTTTAGATATGTCACACATGGTGAAGATTTTATTTCCAAAGTGACTTGTAGATTCATTAACGTGCACTACTCATTTCCCCTATATCAGTACGTGGTTTTCTATAACACCCATAATGTGAAGTCTTCAGTTTCTACACTGCTGAGAAAGAAAAGGGAGGAAAAAGGTGAGTGCACATGTAGTCAGAGGGTCCTTAGATGAGGGATGAGGCAGGGTTCTGGTGTGTTACTTGCTAGATCTGGTCCAGGTGGCTTTCATATGAGGCTAGGCCTCTTATGGTTCAATGTCTAAAATTTTTGTTTCTCTCTGATCTTAAGAACATTCTGCCTGTGCTCAGGAAGTCACCAGCTCTGTGGTAGCTTCTTCCCAAGGCTCAGCCTGGTGTTGGGCTGGGGCCTGGAGAGAGACTGCATAGGGATTGGAGGGATGTGGCACAAGCAGCAGGTCCCTGGGGTATGGAGCAACTAGTGCACTCTGTCTACAGTGAGGACAAGGGAGGTCTGTGGAGCAGAGATGACCCAAGCCTCTGGAAAGTGTGGTAAGGTAAGGACTTATATGAATTGAGCATTTACTCCAGGCTATACATTGCATTAAGCATGTTACCACTAGATTTTTGCAACATTTCCATGAGGTATGTATGAGCAGCATTCATATTTCACAGATAAGAAAACAAATGTAGAGAGCTTCCCAAAGTCTCAGAGCCAGAATCTCAAGAGCAGAAAGCATGCTCACCTAAACCGGATGGGAGACACTTCTCAAGAGATCAGTGACCATACATTATGGTAACAGCCCGATCCATTTAGTTGTACCCATGAACACGTAGCCAGGACAGCTGGCAGTTGTGTATGAATGTAGGAACCCGTGTGTGAGCAGAATTTTGCTTTGTTGTTTTATTTTTGTTAAACAGTCATTCCTAAGGCCTGCTTAAGCACAGCATTTCTACAGAGGAGTAGCACCAACAGAACCCCTGCATGGGAGATCCGCACCCTGGGAAGGTACAGAGCAAACCATCTATGAGAAAACCTGCCATTCCTGCCAGGAAGCAGGAGGGATCAGCAGACACCCTACTGCCTGGACACAATAGCCTAGCCAGCCTCTGATCAGCTCATCAGTGAGACCCCTGCATGCTCCAGTTAGCCCCAATGCCTCCCTGAGCCTCGGAGACCTGAGGGTGCCTGTTTCCATGCTGTTCTGGCTGTTCCTCACCTCAAGCCCGCTGGCTATAGCCACACTTGCTCTGAGCTCCCTGCTGCTGGTAACCATCCTGCAGAGCCAGAGACTTTGGCAAGAGCCCCACTACCTGCTGCTGGCTAACATCCTGCTCTCAGATCTGGCCTACCTTGTCTTCCACATGATCATCTCCTCCAGCAACCTGGATAGCTGGGCCCTGGACTACATTGCTTGTGGTGTTCTCACAGATGCCATCTCCGCTTCCTCTACCAGCACCATCCTGTCCTTCATGGCCACCGTGCTGTACACCTACCTGGCAGCTGTTTATCCTCTGCACTATTTCTCCTTCATGTCTTATGAGGCAGCCCAGAAAGTGGTGGCCCTCAACTGGTTGGTAGCCTGCTTCTTCTCCACATGTCTCATTTGGCTTAGCAAGAGCCAGAATGCTAGGTTAGAGCAAGAGGCCTCATGCATCCTTCATGGACGCTGAAACAGGCCATGACCCCCGAGTCACTGTCACCGACACCTGAATTTTATGCATTCTCTTTCTATGCACAGTTCTCATCATCTACTGTTCTGGAGGATATATGCAGAGACCAGGACTTCAGGCATCTGGGTGCAGGGCTATTCCCGGGCCAAGGGTACCATGCTTATCCACACAGTGCTAATCATGCTATATGTTAGCCCAGTTGTGGTGTTTTCCCTGGACATCTTGCTAACCAAATAACACCACACTGATGTCAGAACTCATATGTGGATCATGGCAGCCAACAACAAGGTGCTCATGATGTTTCCTCATGCCATGCTCTCCTATCTGTATACACTGAGTTCCTGGCAGCTGCTGGGGACAGTCCAGGGCCACTTCTCATCCAGGAGGCACAGAGACATCTGCAGTATTTCTTAGAGCCACAGACATCACAGTCTAGCAGACTGAGGTTAAAAATTATATGTTGGGTGCTTCAGCATCCAATTATTGACAACTCAAAGAACTATGAAATATACTTGTGCAACAGGACCTTTTTTTCACTTTTTTTTTTCAGTGTTCCAGCATTCATTGTTTATGCACCACACCCAGTGTTCCATGCAATACTGCCCTCCATAATACCCACTACCAGGCTCACCCAACCCCCCACCCTCCTCCCCTCCAAAACCCTCATTTTGCAACAGGACTTTTAAGGTGACCTCAACTGATGGTTTTCAACATTGCAAAACTTTTTAAGTAGAGAAAGCTCATTCTCACTGAAGTGAAGATTTTCTACTTGAAAATGAAAACAAACAAGTGATTTGGCAGAGCTCTGATCAAAATGGGGGTAAGACCCTGATCTGTGCCTTTCCAATGGCTTCCACCATATCTTCTACCACCACTAGTAAACCATTGTTCCTGACAAACACACAGAGGCCAAACCATTACTAAAAGTTTAAACCTGGAGAGTAAGCAAGCAGATATGCTGAAGCTGGGACCATGAGCCTCCATTTTGGCAGCTCCTCAGTATATGGGAGGAAGAAGAACAACCTAAGAATCATCTATAGTGGGGAGTGTCATGAAGACATCTATAAACATGGAACCCCCTTAAGGCACCTGGGTGGATTAGTCAGTTGGGCATCTGCCTTTGGCTCAGGTCGTGGTCCCAGGGTCCTTGGTTGGAGTCGCCACGCAGGGCTCCCTGCTCTATAGGGAATCTGCTTCTCTTTCTCCTCCCAGCTTGTGCTGTCTGTCACAATCTCTGCTTCTTTCTCTCTCTCTCTCAAATAAATAAATAAAACCTTTAAAACAAACAAACAAATAAATAAATAAATAAAAATAAAGCCAGAATCCCAAAATATTACAGCCTCTGAGCAAGGATAAATGACAACTAACAGAATAGTAAGGGAACTTCTCTGCCTTGATATTGGTGCTGAGCAAAAGAGGAAGAAAATGCTTTTGAAGCCACCCTTCAAACAGGATTAGAACTAGCTTTTAAACTATATTTTGTGGTTAATAAACTTCATTCTGTGGTTGGTGTGACACTTTAAGAGGATTAGAATTTTGGCTCAGGCTTCAAAGAATTTCATAGTAAAAGAACCTCAAAGAAAATGAGTTACACATAGTCAAAATTCATAAAACCACACAAAAGAATAAGGTACCATAAATAAGAGTAAGAAGAGACAACAAGAGAACAGTAGTATACTCCATCCAGTTCCTTAAACTGTCAGACACTTGGCTAATACAAAAATGTTCAGTACGTTTTAAGACATGAAAAATGACACAGAAATATGAATGAGGAACAACACATTTTTAAATTAATGAAACAAATTAGGAAAAGAATTAAAGAAAACTTCTAGAAATAAAAAGATGTATAATAATTAAAATAATAAAAGATGGGTTATATTTAAAATGGATTAAAAAGTATATTAGAGGGACACCTGTGTGGCTCAGTCAGTTAAGCATCTGCTTTTGGCAGATGGGATTGAGCCCCACATTGGGCTTCCTGCTCAATGGGAGCCTACTTCTCCCTCTTTTCCCCACTTGTGCTCTTTCCTGCTATCTCTATCACTATCTGTCTTTCTCTCTCTCAAATAAATAAAATCTTTTTCAAAAAAGTATTTTAGACACAACTGAAGAGGGATTTTGTAAACTAGAAGGTGGGTTTAAATAAATTACCGTAAATTCAGCCTAGAAGGACAAGGAGGCGAAAAATATAAGTGAAATTAGAGATTTTGAATTTAGAAAAGACTGACATCTAATTTGAGAATACAATAGAGACAATGTGGAGAGGGAAATACTTAAAGAGATAACAGCTGATAATTTTTCAGATTTATTGAAAGATATCAAACCTTAGATTCAAGAACTCTAACCAGTTACAAGTAAGATGAATGACAAATAATCCACTGCAAGTGAATGTGAAACTGCCGGAAACTGAATACAAAGACAAGTTATTTAAAGCAGTCAAAGAGACAGAAGAATAACAATTTAACTGAAAGCTGACTTCTAAAAAAAGAAAAAAAAAAAAAAAGCATAAGTCTAATGTAACTGAAATAATATTGTAAACGTGATGAGAAAAAATAACTGTTGACCTGGAATTCTACCTAGGGGAAAACAGTCTTTTCAGAAAGCAAAATAAAAACCGTTATAGAACACAAAACTGAAAACACAATAGTCCTAACAATACACATTAAAGAAATTTTAAAGGATATATGTCAGGTAGAAGGATAGTTATTCCAGATGGAAGATTTGAAGTGCATGAAAAAAATGGTAAGAAATAATTATTGAAAACTTTGTGCATAGGAGAAGAGTTAATATGGCAGAATATAGAGGATCCTGACTTTGCTTCAAATACAGCTAGATCAGCATTCAACTATTTTGAATCCTAGGAAGAGAATCTGAGGATTAAGGAAACAATCTGCATAGTTGGAGGGAGAAAAGTGATAGATGTGAGATTCCAATCCATGGATTGTGGGAGAGGAAAGCAGAGGGGCACAAAGGGAATGGAACTCTTTTCATGGAGCAAAGTCAGGGAAAGGAAAAAAGTGGGAGAGAGCCCCGTAGTTAGGGACAGCACAATTAGCCATAGTAAAGGGTTACCCTGGGTTGCCTAAGGAGAAATAACTCCCCTTCCCAGAGGGCATTTAGAAGAGTGTGTTTAGCCTCACCAAGGACAAAAGGCCAGCTGGGAGCCATTGAGTGGTGCTTAAGAGCAGGGTCACACATGTGGGGCTTCAAACCTCTGTGGCAGAAAACCTCTGAACAACTTCTCAGTGTAAGCAGCAATAGACTTAAACCTCTGTGTGCATTGTTGGCTAACTGAACATAATAATAAAAAATTAAAATAAAAAATAAGAAAGAAAATTAAAAAATAAAACAAAAAAACCTCTGTATGCAGGATGAGCAGCTGCTTTTCTGTGACAGAACTGAGCAGAAAACAGACAGAGGAGCAAATTACAGATAACCTGGCTGTTACTTTTTGCTGTCTGCTATAATAGATTCAAGCCTCTGCAATGGCTTTCCTGGAGCAGAACGAGTAGGGGATTGAGTCCATTGCAGACTGTCAATAATCTGGTTCTAGCTTTTTGCTGAGTATTACAATAAATTCTAGATTCCGAGTGTGCACTGTGTGATTGATTTTTTGGTGTGGGATGGTGCTGGGCATGCCTCCAGCCTCTCTTCTGGGGGATGGGAATGGGTCTGCACCTTGCCAGGCCCTTTAAAACTTGGGAGTTTTGAATCTCAGCCACTAGCCAGAGATAAAATACAGGAGATCTGTGGCTCTGGGCTTGCTGATGGCCTGGGCACAAGGTAAAGGGCAGGGAACTGAGAAAAGCATGGGACACCGGAGACTGTTTGCTTTCCGAAAAGGACCTCTAGAACAGCCAGTGGCTCGGTGGCTCGGAGGTCCACATCCCAGGAACAAGAGGGAGAGATGATGCCATATTCTTTCTCCTGCTCCACCACCCCCCTTCCACCCACCAACACAATTAGACTTCAGAGAGAAACACAGCGCCTCCAGTGGAGGCTGGAGTTCCCTACACTATACCCCCCAGCCCCGCACCCTGACCCTGGCGGGGGCAACTTCACACAAGCAAGTCAGCTTGTAAACCAGACCATCAGGCCTCTCCCTCAGAAGAGGAACACAGGCCCCCGCATCTACCAAGTCTATTGATAAAAGAAAGCTCCAAAACATCAGCTTCCGGTGGAAATAGGACCAGGCTTTCTTTTTGTTGTTGTTGTTGTTGTTGTTTCTTTTCTTAATTTAAAAAAAATATATATTTTTTTATTTTTATTCTTTATCCTTTAATTTATATATATTTTCTTCCTTTTCTCTTTCTCTTTTTTTTTTGTATCAAGCTTATAATCTTCTGTTCATTGGTTGGTTCATTTATTTCTCTTATTTTTCAGATCAAGCTTCTTATTCTTTATTTTCCTCTTTTCTTCTTTCCTCACTCTTTTTTCCTTTCTTCTTCCTTTTTTTAAAGAAGGAGGAAGGACCATTGGGAAAAAGCAGATAACACACAAAGCAAGACTGTACACAGCACACATCAGAAACACTTCCTGAAGTTTTTGTTGTCATTATTGTTATTGTTGCTGTTTTTGCTGGGTTTTTTTTCTTTTTCTTTTTTCCCCCCCTCTTTTCATTAAGGGCACATGACTAGATAGAAAAATTCAGCCCAAAAGAAAGAATAGGAGATAATTCTCACTATCAGGGATTTAAGCAATATGGATAAAAGTAAAATGTCTGAACTAGAATTTTAAAAAATTATTATAAAGATGCTAGCTGGGCTTGAAAAAAAGCATAGAGGACACTAGAGAATGACTTACTGTAGAAATAAAAGAATAAAATTTAACCAGTCCAAACATAAAGGTGTTATTACTGAGATGCAGTAACAAATAGGAACTTTAACAGAGAAGAAAAGTGAGGCAAAAGAGAGGGTCAGTGATATAGAAGACAAAATGATGGAAAATAAGGAAGCTGAAAAAAATAGAGAAAGACAACTACTGGATCATGAAGGGAGACTTCAAGATTTCAGCAATTCCATAAAGCAAAATAATATCTGGATGATGGGGTCCTAGAGATAAAAAGCGGGAGAGAGGGACAGAAGTTTTATTTGAACAAATTATAGTGAGAATTTCCCTAATCTGGGGAAGGAAACAAGAATTCAAGTCAAGCAGGCAGAGAAAACTCCCTTAAAATCAATAAAAATAGGTCAACACCCTGACATATAATAGTGGAACTGGCAAATTTCAAAGATAAAGAGAAAATCCTGAAAGCACCTGGGGACTACAAGGATAGAAATGTAATGCTGGAAATAGACCTGCCGACAGAGACCTGGCAGGCCAGAAGGGAGAGGTATCATATATTCAGTGTGCTAAATGGGAAAAATATGTAATCGAGAATACCTTATCCAGCAGGGCTGTCATTCAGAATAAAA